GCGAGTTCAATTTCGTCAGTGGATACTGAACCAGGGTTTACATCAGCCCAACTTCCTGAATCACGTGTTATTCACAGACGAAGCTCAGTTTACAAGGGATGGCTGGTTCAACTGTCGATGCAGCAACGTTTGGGCTGACGAAAACCCCAACGTTGCTGTAGTTGTACCACCAGGCGCAATTTTCTGTCAATGTCTGGCGGGCATCATTGGCGATTACTTGAATGGGCCTTTCCTCCTACCACCGATACTCAATGGGCCTTTTTACAAGGTGTTCCTGGAACGTATCCTTCCGACTTTGCTAGAAGACGTGCCACTGATTGTGCGGAGGCAAATGTGGATACAGCATGACGGAGCGCCGGCACACTTCAACATTGTATCACGAGAGTACCTGGATGTTGCTTTTCATGGTCTAGACTATTTCATCTGGGGCCAGTGAAGAGCCTGATCTACGACACGCCTGTGGATAATGAATGGCCAGAATACTTGTTGCATGTGACGTGATCCGTGAGACACCTTTAATATTTGAAAGGGCGCGCCAAAGTTTCTTTCGTGATGTAACGCATGCATTGAAAATGGAGGGCGCCAATTCCAACATCTACTCTAGCAGGGAAGTCTTAAGAGTTTGGAGGGGGTAATATGCCTGTGCATGATCTTCGACATTGAGGCCCCAAGTTTAAACGAAATGATATTAAATGCTGCCCTAGCGCTGCTATTTTACGTTTGCGTACATGGGTTCCTATTTCAGAGTTGTTCTAGAGGGAACCCTCAGTACGCTCCTGAATTATGGCACCAAACTCCTGGGACAATCTGTATATATCGATGAAATTTTATAAAGTGAATATGCACCAAAATTTGTGTGAGACAAACCCCTACTTTCCATGAAACTATAAGAGAACTAAACAATTTTTCTGCAAGTTTTAACTGTTCATGAAATTAGTACATAACATATATTGCCGACTTAATAAAGATATACAACGCTTATTTGAAGCATTTTTCAATAGGATCCTACAATTGAGGATTAAGTAATACTAAGCATTGTCAACCGTTATGTAGTTACCTTATACCTCCAATAAATTAAATAGAAAGATAAGTGGTATATCCATATTATTTATTTTTATATTTGGCACGCGGTAGTGTGGTTGATTGAGACACTATGCTACAAGTCGGAAGGTTGCGGTTTCGAATTATGAGGTCATTATATTTTTCAATTGACCTAATCTTTCCAGCCGCACTATGGTCCTGGATTCGTCTGAGCGGGTAACGGAAATGAGTACCAGGAATTTTCTTGTGAGGTAAAGGGCGGCCGGCGCGTAAGATTGATAACTTCACCGCGATCTATTAGCCGATTGTCTAGAAAATGTGGAAGCCTCGACATTTCACAACCCTATGGACCTCCACGGCCTGTTACAGGGATAGCTTTACCTTTTGTTTAAAAATATTGTCATCAAGTCACAGCACATAGCGTTGGATGATGAGGTGATAATAATAAATTTGAAAAAGAGTGGAATGAAGCGATACAAACATAATTTAAGGTATTATCCAGTCATTGTTTAATCGGCCTGAGAAAATTGAAGAATTCATCAGTCAGGATGTCAGAGCAGGGATCTGATTTAGACTTCTCACGAAGAGAAGGCGAAACTATTACTGTTTGAGCCAACTTATCGGGTATGACGTACGTAACATTGTGACGTCTGTTGTTTGTTTTACGACACTATCAGCATTTTGACTATATGGCCTCGAATGGTATGATGATTGGTGAATAATAATTTGGAGTAGATTTGCAAGGAACCAGTAATGGCCTCGAGATATTTTTCTGGTACATTCATGGAGGGACTGAAGAAAGATACGAAAAAAATCAATCATGGTAGTGTGTGTCTCAGATGAGATTGAACCAAGAACCTCCAGAATAAAAGTCCAGAATGTCACTTCATCTGCCTATTGGTATACAAAATCACAGTTAACGCATTTATGAAGTATATGTTATTGTCAGTGAAGCATACATTCCACCTCCTGTTTTTCTTCCTCTTGAAAATGCTTTAAGAATAGCTATGTATATTTCGCAAGTGCGTCTTCTTCTGAAACCACGTTAAATAAATAGAGACTGATGCTCGGTGTAATGCAGCTCGACAACTCAGCACCAGTATGTGTGTTGACGTGCGAAAACACAAATTGCGATAAAGGATCACGTCACTTGTCGTAACTAAAATTACTGTCTATATAAGAAGAAGTAATTCTTTTCGTGACCTTATCAATACTAATTTTTAAAGTTCAGTTGGATAATAACATATCTCTGTGAAATTAATTCAAAACAGTAAAGAAATTCCATTAGAGCTTTAGGCATCACCATCACGTCACGTCACTTCACGTCAACCTTACCTTCAGTGATTACAGGACTGTACGAAACAACGTTTAATTTAAACCGTGCGAGCTGTGAAATACGATTATGAGTGATGCACGAAGAGGATGATAGAGTAGTTAGTTAGTTAGTTAGTTAGTTAGTTATTGGTGAGGGTGGGTTTCCCCATGCACTTAGACCAGTATTGGTCCATTGTGCTTCCCTCCATGATAGTCTACCAGTCCCTACCGATATTGGTGCGTACCATCAGTCCCGACCGAGCCAGCGAGTTCGGCCTCCACTAGCTTGGCGGTATCTATAATGCTTCCCCCATCTATCAGAGGTGTTAGAGACTACTTGTTGGGCGGGAAACGTCCTTGAATTTGGCTCAGTGACCTTCTTTGGAGATATGAGGTTCTTTTACGTGCCGTAAAGCTACGACACGGGACACACGGCTTAAAGTCCCTCCCGGAGGACTTGTTCCCTGAATTTTTCCACCCTTAAAAATTCGACGACCTCCGCCGGTTTGAACCCGCGTACCATGATAGAGTAAATATAAGCATTTGATCATACCTCCATGATTTACTGACATTTCATACTGCCTTATTTTAAAAATAAAAACAAAACATCAATCCTAAATGGTTCTGATAAGTACTACGTTTATGCATCTCGTGTCATCTAATATTCTACAAGAACACGATGTTTTAGAAAGTAAAACTAACTCTTACACAGATGAAATGGTGGGGACATTCCTATTCAGTTAGGTTTCCGAGACAGAATATAAAAATCACTTCCCAACTGGACCGGTGAATGAGATTAGCGGATCCAACTGGGCCTCATGGATAGAGCAATATCAGTCACTGGTCCACTAGACCAGTGGCTTAGATATCCCGTCCAACTGAGACTGTCAGATAGAACAAATACAAATTACTGATCCGATGGTCTAGTGATTAATATTTTCTCTGTCTAGCAGATAGAAATGAACAAGTGATGTCCCACCCTGTCATTTGAGAAATGAAGGAGATCGAACATTCTAAACGATGTGATCTTGCAGAACATCAGATTATGGACCAAGTCCAGACATTCAGGAATCCCGAAATTCAACGTGAGATATGTTTGGATTTTAGAAGTTTTACTGAAGGCCCTGCCCCTACGTGAACAAATATTTTATTTATTGCTAGTGGGGTGGGACTAAGTCCCTTGTACTGCGGCCTCTTCTGGCCTATTGTACCAGCCCCAGATGATAGGTGAGGGTGATTGTGGAGCAACTGGTGGAATGAAGATTGGCAGGGGAAACCGAAGTACTCGGGGAAAACCTGCTCCAGCGCTACTTTGTTCACCACAAATTCCACTTGACCAGACCCGGGATCGAACCCGGGCCGCCGCGGTGGGAAGCCAGCGAATAACCGCTTGAGCTATGGCGCGGCCCATATGAACAAGTAAAAACTTAGAGTATTCATATTGCATATACTTACTAGCATGGAGACGCAGATAACTTATGGTATCAGTTTCATACACGTCATACAGTGGACGGATATGAACTGTAAAAATCTCCGGTCTTACCTGCAAATAAAAGTAAAAATAATGATTTTAAAATTAAAAAGTAAATTCATTTAAATGTCATTATAGAAATTACGCTATGATTCATAATTATCGCCTGTCTAGAAATCCGAGATTAACTGCCGTGGGGAACCGTTACCCTGACCACGTGACACCCTCTATCCGCAAAAAGTTGGCATTAACTTCACCGACAAGCGGCGGTCGCTCGGTCGGTATAGGTCGCTTGGGGACTAAAACCACGGTGTTTGTTTTTGCTTCTTTCATAATTCTGATTGAAAACAATTTGAAAATATATCGTACAGGCGAACAAAATATTATAAGACAATATTCAGAGATTGAAGGTAAATCCCGATGAGATTAATCTGATCTTCTCGCACAAGTCTCTGGGATATCGTATTCAGCGTTGGATGCAGAGCAGCGACATGGCCTGAAGTTTCGTATACAAAAATTCAATTAAACCGAGTTCATGTATCAAGCGATTTATAATAGTTAAAAGACGATTACAGGAAAGCGCCAAAGAAAGTAATACACATTAATATAGCAAATATGGAAAAAACAGAACTGAACATGAAAAGAAAATATACAAAGAACGTATTACTAGGAACTAAATAACATTAGAAGTATTAGGACTAGGAATAAGGACCTGAGATAATACAAGTGTTACTAATCNGGAGGGCCCCAGAGCCGGTCGGGACTACATGGATTGGAGAATAGTTTTTACCCTACCGTGACTCGAACTCCGATCCCTCAGTCGTCCAGCCCGTAGCCAGTCGCTACACCGATTGAGCTAATAATAATAATAATAATAATAATAATAATAATAATAATAATAATAATAATAATATAATAATAATGAAGGTTTGGCCCTTTGGTCTGATGAGTTTCTCTAGAGATCGATTCTTCATCTTCATGTACATAAAATATTGCACATTATTCCATTATGTATCAGAACTTTTTCATTTGTTTCCTGGTAATATTGTAACTATACATGTCCCACTAATTGTACAATACAGCAGTAATTACATAAGGTCAAAAAAAAAGCAAAGGATACAAAAAGCACTCGTTTCCGGTCACAAAAATCAGAGCTGCGGAGGAGGAGGACGAGTGATGCATGGCAGAGTCAGAGTAGAACGGCAGGAATTCATCACACTTTCACTACGGCGCGACATTGTGGTTCCGGAGGGCATCGATCGAAACCCAGCTTAGCCTCTGCTACGTGATGTATGTACTGGCTGAGCCTCAGCGTTGGCTTATACTCCTGGTATTATCTCTCTTAACACTTTGAACAGTGGTGTAAAACTATATTATTTTGTCGCAAGTGGGAATATATTTATTTATTTTTGGTTTTTTAATGATGGTATCACTATTTTAGACCAATCAGTCCTGAACCCTTTGTCTTCTCGTTTGCTGTCTAGAAACATAAAATTTAGAATATACAAAACTATAATTTTGCCTATAGTTCTGTGTAGGAGCGAAACTTGGTATCTGGCTTTAAGGGAGGATCACAGACTGAGGGTACTTGTGAACAGGGTGCTGAGGAGAATATTTGAATCGAAAAGAGATTAAGTGACGGAAGATTGGAGAAAACTGCATAATGAGGAGTTCCATAATTTGTACCGCCCCAAACATAATCAGAATGATCAAGTTAAGGAAGATGTGATGGGAAATGCACGTAGCACGAAAGGGGCGAAGAGGAATGTGTATAAGATATTGGTGGGAAAGTGAGAAAGAAAGAGATCACTAGGAAGACCAAGACGTAGGTTGATCGACAGTGTTAAAATGGATTTTAGAGAGATAGGATTGGGTGGTATGGACTGGATAGAGCTGGCTGGAGGGCTCTTGTGAACTCGGTAATAAACCTTCGAGTTTATTAAAGTGCTTGGAAATTCTTGAGTAGCTGCTCAACGGGCGGTTTCTCAAGAAGGGTTCAGCTCTGTGAAGTTTGTTTAGTTTAGTTAGTTATTGTCTTAGACTATATATACCGCAAAAGACAGAACAATTAATGAGTAGCGAATTGTAAAGCTGTGAAAATAGGTGACTATGGAATAATTTAAGATACTATCCTGTAATTTTCCTAGAGAGAAAGAAGAAAACTACCAAAATATCCTGTAAGAACATTTCAGATAATTCTGCTTAAAATCGAAAATCTTTCTTTTTTTGTTTCCTGGTAATATTAGAACCATTCACTTTTGTGACAGGCCATAGCAATAATTGTATAAGAACTGACAAAGAAAAGGGCTAAAAACTCGGTGGACCTCCGGTCTAAATTTTAATCAAGATACCTTCCGAACACGAACCAGGTGATTTAACCATTCTACCGCTACATTCTGTAAGTGCGTAGATATGATAATAAAACTGAATTATAAATGGGCAAGTAACCATTGAGCAGGGAGATCGGCGCGATCACTGCATCCACAAGCAGTTCTGACACATTCTCAAAATCAGAAATATATCAGTTTTGGTTTAGGTACAAGTGGCAGATTATCGACTCTGCCTATGTGGCTGGTTGGTAAAGATCTCTCATCAATTCCAGAAGTGTCATGTCAAATAAAATATGGGGATGATGTTTAGTATATTACAATACAAGCTAAAATTTAATTTTCAATGGGTGCATCCTTTGTGTTAATTATATAAAATTCTTTATTATAATCCATCACAACACAACAACGAAACACTTAATGTTTAATAGTATTTAGCTACATGTTTGCAACTGCAATCTGTCTTCCTACCAGACCGGACATAGTACACATGAAATGAGGTACCCGCCAAATAACATAAAAACCAAATAATACTGCACGCATACAAACGGGCCTCCAAGTAGTTAACCAACTTCATGCGTGTATATAGCAAGAAACCTATTACCACATGACCACAAATCAAGAAATATAACATAACAATACGATTGAAACAATTTGCAAAATAAGATATATTACACGCATGGCTTTTAATTATATTTTTAATTGTTTAACTTATTCTTTTAAAAGATCTTTATTTTTTATTGTATTTTATATTTTGTATTATTATATTGTGATATATTTGTCAAGATTGTACCAATCATATGAAACTCAATTCAATAGTTTTAAGAATGTGGTAATTGTATTTGCCTGATGGTGGCTTTCTAAAAAGCCGAAACTTGTAGCTAAATGCTATTAAACATTGTTTCGTTGTTGTGTTGTGACGGTTTATAATAAAGAATTTTATAAAATTATAATAATTTATTTAAAGCTTCATAAACCGTTAAACACAAACATAAGAAAAAGGGGCTATAATATAAATAATTAATATAAAAATTACTGAGACCAAAGACAAGTCTCCAGAAGTCGAACGAATGGAGAAAACATCGGAATGAAAAGTGAGGTTAGAGAATTGCATAATGCCTGAACATTAATTGATTAAATGAGAACATGATCTGCATGGTAGGAAAGAGAACTCATAAAATGCACATCTAAACAAAAGTGTGAAAGACGTGATATTTCTGATCCAACTCGGAAATCTATTCACTTGAATACCTCAAATTATTTGGGGTTCATGGCTGTGAGGAGATTAAAATGTATACACAGGTACAAGAACGTTTGAATGCAATGACAAAACATGACATTGTAAATGTTTCAACATTTTCAAGAACAAATAATATGCATATATTTTATAAATGTGGAATTTATAAGTACTTTTGAAGTACTTAAAGGATATGCCATTTTTGAAGTTTATATTTTATTACGGAATATGTCCCGGTAAAAAAATTATATACCAAACTTAATTGCTTTTAAAACACAGAGAAATATATATTTTACCATTAAAAAAAAATGAAACAAGGTGTAAAAATACAAGCTAACTAGAGATACGTCCATTCTTAGCTCGGAATATGATGGTTTCCTTCCGTCTGAATATCACAGAAGATCTCAATTAAAAACATGAAACAGAAACTCGGTGCTCTTATGACCATAGGAGGGACAAGAGACAGGGATGCACGAAGCAGAAAAGTTGTTTTTATTTATAATATTCTGGTCCTCCTTTCCAAATATTATTAGAATGATCAAGTCAAGGACTATGAGATGGGCAGGACATGTAGCATATACTTGAAGAAGATAACTGCATATGAGGTTGTAATAAAATTCCCGAAGGGAAGAGACAATTAGGGAGACTCAACGTATGTGGCACGATAATATTAAAATGGGCCATGAAGAGGAAGAATGGCATCTGGGTGGGTTTCAATGGATACGAATAAAGGCTAGAGAAGGGCTATTGTGAACACACAATAGATCCTCGGGTTCCGTAAATTGCTTTCAATTTCTCGGGTGCGACTTTTGGCTTCTCAAGAAGGACCAGGCTTAAGTGGATTAGACAGAGAGACACACAGGCAGAGAGAGAGAGATAGATATAGAGGATTATATATTGTCAAGATGGATTCAATTTATTGCAGATATTAAGTTTAAAGACGAAATTACTTTAGCTAGGGTTTCCAACTTTCAGTAGTTTTAATATGCAGTAATTAACAGAAAAAGAATATTGGGCCATAACTTAGAAATTTTTATGCTGTTGTTAGATTATGAAAATAATCCGGTGAACAGTATGGCATATCCCACAAAATAACATATATGCAATGCAGAATTTGTGTAGAAAAGGAAAAGCTATTCCTATAACAGACCATGATGATCCATAAGGTTGTGAGACGTTGAGGCTCCCACATTTTCTGGACAATCGGCTCAAAGATGGCGGTGAAGTTGTCAGCCTTACGCGCTGGCCCCCAGGAAAATTCCTGGTACTCATTTCTGTTAGAAGCTGAGTCGATCTCAAGGCTATAGTGCTGCTGGAAAGGTTATATCAATTGAAAAATTCGATGACCTCATCGGGAAATCAACCCAAAACCTCCGGGCTTGTAGCGTAGTGCCTCAACCAACTACGCTACCTCGTATCCTCCGTAGGATCTGTATGTTCACAGCAAATTATAACAAACTGGCCCAAGCGTTTGTGATCAACTGCTGAAAGTAAATACTGCTTAAGACAACGGCGTCCTCTTTCACAAACCATCTTTGATATTGCCGAGGGAGTTCAACAAGGAGCGAAGCAGTGGCGTACCTTATAGGCCGACACCAATGACAAAATCTTTTCTGGTTATGAGACATATCAATCTGGAATTAATATCTAACGTTTCTGTGACTGTCTCCATCTCCAAGATCAGGGAGATCACGGATGATGGAGACATCTAGCAAAACGTCAGATACTAACACTACATTGACGCCACTGATCACCCGAAAGGACAATGAAGGTAATGAAGCCTACAGTCGCAGTGAAAGTCCTGTTTAAAATAACAATTTACAATACTTGTCACTTAACAATTGTTCAACAATAAATACCGAGGAGTTCAATGCACCTACAGTTCTCTAAATTTATAATTTTGAAGTGTCTGACAAGAATGACGGCCGATTTACCGGTTATCCTTATGAATTACTTTCGTGGTTTTCATCCTTTTTTCCTGGTAAATGTCAGAATAGTACCATGAAGTAGGCTACGGCCGCCTCCTTCTAAATCCCCCCCTCCTTTGGCACTACAGCCCCAGTGGGCCTAGGCCTACCTCCATGAACTTCTCCGTTCACTTCGGTTTACTAGATCTTACACATTCGGTAGGACTCCTTGGGAAGGTGATCAGCTCGTCGCAAGGCCTCTACTTGTACACAAACACATAAAAATGCACACACATAAACTAAACATCCATGGCCTGAGTGGGTTTCGAACCCACGATCACGGTTTCCAAGCGAGCGAAGACAGTACATGCCTTAGACAGCTCGGCTACCGTGACCGGCTTCTAAATCCTCACTTGTTCAATATTTAATATCATCTAGTAGTCTGAATGGGTTTTATGTGACTTCTTTAGTCGAATCAAATATGGAAGAATGCAGTCCAAAGAATGTGCACATGCTATCTGCAACTTGACGTTGCGAATTTGCATTATGGTACACCTTCGTTTCCTAAGGATACGACTCACCACTGCTTGTTTCCGCTCCGCTCCGTAGCTACCGTTGCTGCAAGGGTTCCTGTTCTTGCTACTGCTAACGTGAGTCATTTGGTTACCACAACAACAATTGGTTTTCGTGTTTACCAGTCCGATCACAGTGACCACGCGGTTTAAAGCATGAACTGTCTTCGTTGGCTCGAGCACTAGGGTCGTGGGTTCGAATTCCACTCAAGACATGGATGTCTGTGTGCGGTTTTTCTGTGTATAAATAACGGCCTTGTGACGGGCTAATCCCCATACGAGGACTCCTACCGACTGTGTATAGGATTAAGAAACTGGAAAAGTGGGCAAGGTCCAATAAAGGCCTGTAGAGCCATATATAGATCGTGGTTACAACACTTCGGTATTGGCGCCAGTGTAGTTCCGACGTCGCCTGTTCTTGCGTCTACCAAATTGCTACTACGGACTCTAGGGAATTAGGAGCTAATATTGTAGCATGGCCTATGATGGCGTAACGTACATACCAAATTTTACCAAATTCCATCCAGCGATAAGAATGAATAATACGGACGATTTGACAGACGGATATCACTATATATATATTGGTTTTCTTCTTACATATTATACAAACATCCCATGAAATTTGAAAATAAATAATTCTATCATTTCTATCAGACGAGCAGGGCACTAACTTCTGTGATTATGATTTTAGAAGAACTGATAGCTTTCATTTGACTACCCCGTGTAGTGCTGCAGGATGGTGTAAGGATGCCTGCTGATAACATGTTCCCTGGTCTCGCCTTGTCGGGCTGCACCCCTGACCAGTTGCCCATCAACCCGACCTCTCCAGACAAACTAATGTCTGCAGCCAGCACAACGACCACTGCGGCTGCGTTTGAGGAGGAACTGGCTGCAGCCTTCAGCAGAGCACCACAACTGCCACCGGAATGGGCCGAGAAGGCGGCAAATGAACTGAACGAGAAGCCGGAAACCGTCCAAGAAACCATCAGTTCTCTCAGGAGCATGGTGATAGGTACAGTTAACAGTCACTTGCATTTAGTCCATCGTAAATTATTGTTATTGTTACAAAACTCTTTTTCTTTTTAACTTAAGCTTACGACGTGTAGTATTGCATCTTCTTCCCACTGGACAGTAGAAGTACACTTCATTAAAATTAATTTGCTAATTCTTTCTTCATTTTATTTAGATGTCCTTACATGCAGGCCATTCTTCTCCAGCATCATTACTCTTAATTGAATTCAGACAAATACATCAATTTACAAACCTGATAGATTTTATCCTGCTCTGTGTACAGCATCAGATTCTGTTTTGTATTATAACCGTGAACACAACACAACGAGTGGTATGGAAATATCTTCAATGGAGGTAGTAGATGTTAATATCAATTTTACTTATTTGTTACAAATATAGCTATGCTACATGTTTCGACCATAAGTCGGTTATCAACAGGCCTTAAATGAACAAATCTCAAGTATTAAATATAAAATAATTATATATAATCTATATAAATATATATAATTAAATAAAATGATACAAAAATATATTATAACAAATTATATTTAAAATTTCAAACTAGAAGTTGTGTTAGGTCGTGTGCAAATTTCAGCACATATATGCTGGTATACTTAAGGGGTTGTTGCATTATTTCCCTCTATGTTGTCGTGTAGTTTATAAATATAATATTGTGGGATGCGGTCCGTTGTTTATTTGTTGTGTTTCTCTTGGTTACCTAAGTTATATGTTTTAGAGCGGCTCTGAGCGTAGCCCCTACTAATTTTATGTAGTTTCCAACCACTGTTTCCGATCCTGAGCCAGATCAGTCAAGTTCCCACCAATCCATACAATCATAATGAAATTGCTTCCGTGATTAATTAGTAAAGCACTATGCTATGAAGGCATATAGAGAACTGGAGACCCATTGGATAGGAGACTGAGCGGGTCCCACAGTCTCTCTGGATGGTGGGGAGAAGAGAAAAAAATTTGCAATGCCGGGAATGGAACTCGGGCCTTCCACCACGTAGCCCGTCATTATACTGATTGAGCTATCCCGATTAGAATCATAACAAGCAGTTGTAATAACGTATCGATCAGGGTCAAATATATCAAGTACTCATGTAATTCATTCCTTCATCAATGGTTCTACAGCCCTTTGTTGGGCCCTGGCCTCTTCTTCAGTTTCGTAATCTTTTTTACACAGACGGTAGGACTCGAACTCCTTGGACGAGTAGTCAGCCTTTCACAATACCGCTACCTACACACAGAACAATATAAATACAGAATAAACGTACATACAGATATCCATGCCTTGAGTGGGATTCGAGCCCACGATCCCAGCTTTCGAGCTAGCGAAGACAGTTCATACCTTAGAGAGTACGGCTATTGTGATGGGCACTCATGTAATTACTTTGGATAAATTTGAATGGATTTCCATTATTAGTAACTCTTATACAGCAGGAAGCAGAATTTCTGACTGTCAGCGTGACACAAACACAGATAGTGGTGTCAGTGAACTCCAGCGACGGTGTAACAATCTGTTCCGCTTATTTGTTCCAGCCGAGACGAATCTCCGAGTGAGAACAGACGATGCTTTTCTCCTCAGGTTCCTTCGTGCTCGGAAATTCAACTGCGCCAAAGCATTCCATATGGTATGTATATTTGTAACTATGGAAAAAGGTAAAGTTGTCCCTGTAACACGCCGTGGAGGCCCATAGGGCTATGAGACGTCGTGGCTCCCACATTTTTTAGACAATCGGCTCACAGATGGCGGTGAGGTTGTCAGTCTTACGCGCCGCCCCGCCGCCCTTTACACCCAGGAAAATCCTTGGTGCTAATTTCTGTCAGAGGGTGAGTCGACCCCAGGACCACAGAGCGGTTGGAACGATTACGTCAATTGAAAAATTCAATGGCCTTATCGGAAATCGACTTGTAGCATATTGCCCTAATTAACTACGCTACCGCGAATGATATTTTTTTTTGGATATTATCCTTCGTAGTAGTTTTTATCTGCTACGACGTTTCGCAGACCGGGTTTTGTCTCCGTCCTCAATTAAAATGCCTACTCTGTTGGGTCCAATCGACAGAGCTAGTTCCTATCCCCGGATGAAAAATCTGATCATCCTGTTAATGATTGAAGAACAGGAGTCTGGAGAAAACTGCATAATGAGGAATTCCATAACTTGTGCTATCCGCCAAATATAATTTGAATGTTTAGGTCATGAAGGGTCAGATAGGTCAGAAATGTAACACACATGTGGAGAAGATGCATGTATGTAGGATTTTAGTGAGAAAGTCAAAAGGAAAGGAACTACTAGGAAAAAATGGAAGTAGGTGGGAAGATAATATTAAAGTGGATTCTGAAGATATAAGATGGGATGTTATGGACCGGATTAATCTGGAGGGCCAGTAGGACCAGTGGAGGGCGCTTGTGAGGACAGTAATGAAACTTCGGTTTACGTAAAATATTCAGAAATTCTCGAGCAGCTGAGCTACTGGCGGTTTCTCAAAAAGGACTCAGTTTCATGAAGTTAGTTGTCTATTTCTGTTAATACCCAATCATCACGAACTTCTGGGTCTTGACTAAGTCATCATAGAAACTAATTCAATTTGTGTGCAGTAGAGATCGCGGTTAGTTGATGAATAATGAAAAACAGTGAAACCCGTCTGACAGTTAAAACTGGTTTCGAGAAAATTAGCATTCCACGTTTTGGTTCTTAGTGCACGTACCGTAACTTCCTGAGGATACCACCGATGCAGCTTTATTTAGGGTTACACTCTCAGTAAATTTCTTAAATGTAATCAAAATTGCTAGGGCCGTTGTTGAGAATATCAACATATTGTTTTGTGGGCCTATCTGAAGGGCGTCTATTATTGGAACTAGGTAGTTCAGATACACCGGGCATCGACCTAGGGTAGCCACACTCTTGAGTACTGACAATAAATAAATAATATTCCTCTGAAACTTCGAGATATCTCCTAATTACAAACGAATTAGAACTTAGAAGGCCGAATTTTTCAAATATATATTCTCCTTTGAAGGCCAGTGATAGTTTTCTAGTTTATGTAAAGCCAGTCGTGTTACAGGCCATGGAGGCCCATAGGGTTGGGAGGCATCGAGGCTTCCACATTTTTCGGCTCACACATGGTGGTGAGGTTGTTAGCCTTACTCACGGCCCTCTCTTTAATCCCTAGGAAGATTCCTGGTACTCATTCCTGTTAGAGGCTGAGTCGATCCCATGGGCCTAACGCGGCTGGAAGGATTAGTTCAATTAGAGAATCTAATGACCTCATCGATAATCGAATCCGAGACCGACCCACTGATATCATAGTGCCTTAACTATGTTACCGTATGCCCCCGTGTTTTCTTTAACAGCATTTAATAAATAAATAAATTTGGAATACCTATTTCTTTTTCTTTTCTTATGTAAGGTAAAAGATTCCCTGTGCTTAAGCATTACGAGAGGAAGGCGTATGGGGTGGGTGGCTGTAAACAACCACATTTTCTTGACCTCGGCACTAGTTGGAGGTGAGTGGTGAGCCTCACGCCTCGGCCGCTTTACCTCCGGGGAAAGAGTTCCCGATACCCATTGGATAGGATGCTGGATGGGCCCCAGAAGCAGTCTGGACGACGTCGAGAAGAGAAAATTATTGACTCTACCTGTACTCGAACTCCGATCCCTCGTAGCCAGTCGCTATACCGACTGCGCTAACCTGGCTCCGTGTTCACTAATGTACCTCTGTTTCTGCGCAGTTGCAGCGGTACTACGTCATGAAGCTGCGCTGCCCTGAGCTGTTCAAAGTACCGCTGCCGTCGGAGAAGCAGCACATCCTGGAGATGCAAGCTCAGAACATGCTGGAGGACAGAGACGGTAGTGGTCGCAGAGTCTACATATTCAGAGTAGGTCAGTACATTTCACTGTTATCTGCCTGTCAGATGGTATTATAGGACAGTCATACCTCTAGTTGTGGAGAGTTAACTTTGAGACTTACCGAGCAGATTGTTTCTAGAGTTAACGCTCAATATTTGCATTCTGAGATGTCTGGGTTGACTCTACCGCCCCTGTGTTCTAGAGGTCAGAGCTCCTGGCTACAAATCCAGAAATCCGGGTTCGATTCCCAGCATTACCAGATTTTCTGAGAAGTAGTGGGCCTGGAACGGGGTCCACTCAGCCTCGTGAGGATAATTGAGGTGCTATTTCAAGGAAACAGCGGCTCCGGTCTAGAAAAACGAAATTAACGGGCGTGGGGATTTGTTGCGCTGACCACACGACATACTTTATCCGCTAAAGTTGGCACTAACTTCGCCGAAAGGCGGCATTCGCTCGATCGGTATAGTTCGCTTGCGGACTACAGCCACGGAGTTTTTTTCTTGGGTCCTATCTCGGCTGGAACAGCGGCTCTTCAGACTGAAGTTTTTTTTTGTGATTTTCTTCACTCTCTCCAGGTCTCCAGGTCCAGGAAAATGTCTCGATTAGGTCACAGACTCTTGATAGTAAAAGTGTCGTCAAGCGGCTTCCGTAGTCTAGGGGTAACGTTCCCACCTCATGACTCAAGGTACGCGGGTTCAAACCCGGCGGAGGTCGTGGAATTTTTAAGGGCGTAGCTTTACGGCACGTAAAAGATCCTCATGTCTCTAGGAGATCTCTGAGCAAAGTTAGGTAAAAAGTTTCCCGCCCAAGTAGTTTCCAATGCCTCCGGTAGATGGGTGAAGTATCGGGTACCATTTGCCAGTAGAGGGGCCGAACTCGCTGGTTGAGCGGGGCTGATATCAAGCACCTGTACCGGTAGGGTATGGCGACAGTAGAAATTAAAGGGGGACGTACAATAGACTACTAGTCGGGGTGCATGGGGAAACCCACCACCTATAATACTAATACTAATACTAAACAAGTGTCGTCAAATAATCCACATAAAAAAATAACACTATTGTCACGTGTAGGGGTGACTATAAGACGGAGTTTTGTATTGGTAGATTGGATTTATTGCACTTTATATATTAACAAGAGCCGGGATAGAATAGTCGGTGTAGCGACTGGCTATGGGCTGGACGGCAAAGGTTGGAGTTCGAGTACCAGTGGGAGCAAGAGTTTTCACTTCCCCATGCCGTCCAGACCGGCCCTGGGTTTCACCCAGCCTCCTATCCAATGGTTACGGGGGCTCTTTTCCCGGGGTAAAGCGGCAAGGGCGTGAAGCTAACCACTTGTCTCCAGCTAGTGCCGAGGTCAAGTAAATGTCGATATATACACCCACTCCCCCATACGCCTTCATGGCTTAGTTCTCAATTAGTTAAGCACATAGACAACTTTACCTTTTATATATTCACAACTCGGGACTACAGGAAATTACAGCGCTATTGCTGATCTACACACTTTACAGTTCACCGTCACACACGCAGTAGGTTTCTCAGTCTTCACTACTCATATCCTGGCAACGGATTTATAAGAGTCTCGCAGTCACTTCAAACCGGAAACTTCAAACTTCTTTTCATAGCCTAATTGCGTTCTTACCATTATACTGCAATTTCCAATTCCTAAGACTTGACTCAAGTCAATTCGTCTGCTCCCAAGCTCATATCCTGGCAGGCTGGCGTCTCGAAGCTCAACTCCTAAGTGAATGGCCTTAACTGAAATATTCTTCGTAACCACTTTGCACGGAACATGCAGAAAACACAACCTGTCTATTGTTGAGAAAGTGTATTTATAGCGCCGTTACATAAGAGCGGAATTTATTTGACTATTGCTTGCCTATTCATTGCCGCGGGAATGTGTTTACGAAGTAGTTGCTTGGCAATGGACTTCTCCTCTGATTTCACTATTCCGGCTTTCAGGCGTCATGTAACACTATTGAATGTAAATGGTAGGAAAATGAACCACGGTTACATCTTCTCAAATCCTAGAGAAGTCTAACTATTTTAATTTTTTTCAAATTTTATTTTGTTTATTTAATTATTCAACAGCCCAAAAGTCGGTTATGGAGTAAGCACGAACAGAGGAAAGAAATAAAACAAATACACACAAAAACAGAAGAGAAAATAAGGAAACTTTCAGAATTGAAATAACTACATCAGTTTCATTAGTGGTCTCACGGCAATGGTTGTGCTCCGAAAAAAAAATATTTACCACGAACACAATTAACATTTTAATAATTAAGAAAATACCAAAATTAAAATATGATTAAGAGAAGGCATTTTGGTTCCAAGTAAACGATTTCCATGCCGGTCACGGTATCCGAGCGGTCTAAGGCATGCACTGTCTTCGCTCGCTCGGAAGCCGGGATCGTGGCTTCGAATCCCACGCAGGGCATGGATGTTTGTGCGCGTTTTTCTGTGTTTGTGTACAGGTAGAGGCCTTGCGACGAGCTGATCACCCGCCCAAGGAGTCCTACTGTATGTCTAAGATCTAGTAAATCCGAAGTGAAACGGAGAGTTTCATGGAGGTAGGCCTAGGCCCAAATGAGGGCTGTAGCTCCAATGGGGAAACAAAACGACTTCCATACAGTCAATATTAGCAGCTGTGGCGCTTCTAGCAGAAGGACTCGTATGTACGATGTAGCTAGTCTGTATAGTATTGAATGAAAAGAAGTTGAAATGAATGACGAAGTGGACATGCTTTTCGACGGAAACGACAGTGGCTTAATCGAGGTACTATCTTGGCATTTGTTCCTTGGCACTACAGCCCCAGTGGGCCTAGGCCTACCTCCATGAACTTCTCCGTTCACTTCGGTTTTTCTAGATCTTACACATTCGGTAGGACTCCTTGGGCGAGTGATCAGCTCGTCGCACGGCCTATACCTGTACACAAACACAGAAAAACGCATACACACAAACTAAACATCCATGCTCTGAGTGAGATTCGAACCCACGATCCCGGTTTCCAATCGAGCGAAGACAGCATATGGCTTAGACCGCTCGGCTACCGTGAGCGGCATCTTGGCATTTACCTGGAGGAACTTACGAAAACTGCTAAAATATTTCAGCCGGAATATCCGGTGCCCCGGTCGCTATTTCAGAAGAGCACCACCGGAATACGGGTCTACAGCGACAAAGCTATGCCCGCTCGGTCGGTACCCACACTTGCATACTCGTAAGCACAATATATGAATACATGTGTATGAAGGAGGGGAAATGCAGCTCCACGTTTTATTAAGTTCGGCCGGTTTGTGCCCGGGGAAAGAAATCTCGAAATCCTTGATCAGGAAGTTTAGAGGGCCTCACAGCCGATGTGGACGCTGCGGGGGGAAAAAAGAGAATTATATTTATTGTACTGGGAATTGAACCCCAATTCCTCGGCCGCTCAATCCGTAGCCTAGAGTCTATACTGACTGAGCTATCCAGACTCCAAACAGACAAAGTATAAGAACAAAATCGTTCATGTATTTGCGCTGTTGTATTATCTTCTTGTAATCGAAGTAATTAAATATTTAAGCAACTGATTAAATAACCACTGAAAAAGAGGTAAAGCTATTCCTCTAACAGGCCGTGGAGACCCGTATGGTTGTGAGAGGTCGAGGCTCCACATCTTCTAGACAGTCGGCTTATAGATGGCGGTAAGTTTGTCAGCTTCACGGGCCGGCCGCCCATTTACCCCCAGAGGAAAATACCTGGTACTCATTTCTGTTGTAGGCTGAGTAGTAGGCCATAGTGCTGCTGGAAGGATTAGGTCAATTTAAAATTCCAAGGACTTAAACCGGGATTCGAACCTGCAACCTTACGGCTTGTAGCATGCTACCGCGTGCCCCGAGGAATTCTAATAACTGATTTTTAACGATAATTATGAAAATAGCTAGAATATTACTGAAGGTATTACATTATGAATATATTATTTCTTAATGTGATTTTTGCGTACTTCTGCTTAACATCATCAGAACTAATCGATATACTACATTCAGTTGTGTCAAAAAACTCTTTACATTCTAATTTTATTCTTAGAAAATAAGGGATCGCTTTATATTTTGGCGTATACGCTAAGTTTCCTAAGCGATATGTTTCCTTCGAGCCTCTGAATTAAATTTTATATTTTTTTCACATCCTCCACGCGTTCTGCATATGCGTCCCATCTGATCTTACTTTCTCTTCTTACGCTTATATTAGTTGTGAAAGCTATACTACTCTTAATTTTATATTTTCTCGAAGGACCCTATTCACAGAAATTCGTGACGTACTCATATAAGAATTTTGAAATATTTATGAACAAAATTTCTCTTTGCAATATAATGCCTAATGTTGTACGAAATTGACAACTCTCTAATCTTAAGAGAATCCAGTTATTTTCCCTTCGAATCTGAAATTCACGCTAATAATATTTTATAAATTCAGTTCCCAGAGCATAAAGAACACTCTGTTTCTGTTTATCCATTAGAAAGGCCAGTCGGTTAATGTTGGCCAGGGAATAATTTTTTATTAGTATCATAGCAAAATGCAGAGTTCACGGATGCTAAAACAGGTGCTACTTGCAGTAACCGCCGTGTTTTAGAAAAGCAAACTAAAATATGACCGAAGATAACGCACTCAAGATCGATGTTAGTACTTCAACATCCTATTGCAATGTACAGACCTCACTTAGAATTTCTGCGCCCTTTAAGTGTAACATACTTGTAGTTCGTTGTTCCTTTATTGGACGCTATATCACTACACGATTCGGCCTAACTGTTCATCTTCAGGTGTACAGTTTGTTGTAGTTAGGAGTCTAAGATTAAGGGTAAGCAGCACACAACTGAACCACAATAAGTTGTACACCTGTAGATGGCCCGTTAGGCCGAAACATGTAGTGAAATAATGTCCAATAAAGAACCAACCAACTGTGTTGCACTTAGACGAGCAGAAATCCCAAGCCACACTCATCAAATAGATCCTAATGGGCTCTGATAATGGTTTATAACGCAGAATTACTGGGGTTTTGGACTTCTTCCATCGTCCGGTATTCTAGGAAACAGAAAACACGACGTTTCGGGAATTGGATCTGTTTCCGTCCTCCGGTAAAAGCTGGAGAAGACACCTACTCAGTTGGACCCCTAAGAAACTGCTAACCCCAATCTGACAGGGTTGTCTAGTGATTGAGGTTAGCTCTTTCTAAGGGGCCCAACTGAGTAGGTATCTTCTTCCTCTTCACCTGAGGACGGATATAGATCCAGACTCCGAAACGTCGTTTGGTCTGTTCTCTAGAATGCTGGACGATGGAGAAGTCCAAAACCCCAGTTATTCTGTGTGCCATACTCACCAAATTTTATACTTAGAATTCAAACCCTCGGGAAGAAGAAGCGTGGTGCCGCTGCGGTAACCTATCCGTGTGGTTGCAGAGAAATGCGACGCAGCGAATGTCAGCATTGAGGACATTTTCCGTACCAATGTGCTGGCTCTGGAGCACATTGTCCAAGAGCCTGAGACACAGATCGCAGGCCTCATCGTCGTTGTGGATATGAACGGCTTCGGCTTCCAGCATGCCAAGTTCCTCTCACCGTACTATGCCCGCCGCACCGTTGAGGTCATCCAGGTACAAGCTGCTCTTTAAAGTACACTTTGTCTTAGGGGTTTCTGTAGTTTTGTCTCTAATGGACTAGAATCCGAGTGAAGAATGTTAGTTAAAGGAACGAATACACACAGATGCGAATAATCCGGTAATCAGAATACTGTAAAGTGATTATACAGCATTACCAGGAACTATTGTGTCACAAATCTCGTGACAATATTAATTTACCTGTAATTAGAATAATATAGAGTGATTATACAGCATTACCAAGAACTATTGTGTTGCAAATCTTGTGACAATATTAATTTACCGGTAATTAGAATAATATAGAGTGATTATACAGCATTACCAGGAACTATTGTGTCACAAATCTCGTGACAATATTAATTTACCGGTAATTAGAATAATATAGAGTGATTATACAGCATTACCAGGAACTATTGTGTCACAAATCTCGTGACAATATTAATTTACCGGTAATTAGAATAATATAGAGTGATTATACAGCATTACCAGGAACTATTGTGTCACAAATCTCGTGACAATATTAATTTACCGGTAATTAGAATAATATAGAGTGATTATACAGCATTACCAGGAACTATTGTGTCACAAATCTCGTGACAATATTAATTTACCGGTAATTAGAATAATATAGAGTGATTATACAGCATTACCAGGAACTATTGTGTCACAAATCTCGTGACAATATTAATTTACCGGTAATTAGAATAATATAGAGTGATTATACAGCATTACCAGGAACTATTGTGTCACAAATCTCGTGACAATATTAATTTACCGGTAATTAGAATAATATAGAGTAATTATACAGCATTACCAAGAACTATTGTGTGACAAATCTCGTGACAATATTAATTTACCGGTAATTAGAATAGTATAAAGTTTGCAAACGTATTAAAGATAACAGTGACACGCACACAGAGAACCTGCACAGAATAATACGTGAACGGTGCTGAAAGCAAGAAGAAGCCGCTGCAGCAGATGCAGTTATAGAACAGGTATCGCTGTGATTTAAATTTAAAAAGAAATTAAATTTTAAATTTAAATCGACGAGTGTATATTAACAGAGATTTTAAACATAACTGACAAATCAGCAAGGGGATTCTGGTATATCGGGACCGATTGAAATGTAGCAATGACAATTAAGAAAGCTGGTGTTTTTAACAGCTACGTAAACGAAATACAACTGATGATGGCCAGTTACGGCCGAAACATGTAATGCGTAAGAATAAAGACAAAGAACTACAATAAATTGTTGCATTTACTCGTGACAATATTAATTTACCGGTAATTATGAATAATTTCAGTTTACTATTGTTCATAGTTTGGCCGGTCACAGTATCCGCGCGCTGTAAGGCATGAAATGTCTTCGCTCGCCCGAACGCTGGGATCGTGGGTTCGAATCCCACCCAGGGCATGGATGTTTCGTGTTTGTATGCTTTATTCTTTGTTTGTGTTGTCCTGTGTTTAGGTAGCGGCCTTGCGACGGGATCATTACTCGTTCAAGGAGTTCTACCGTCTGTGAAAAATTATTTTGGAACTAAATAAGGGGCCTGGACCCTGATCGGGCCGAAAGAGCCATTGGAAAAATATTCATAGTTGCCGGTAAAGTTTCTATTGTCATCGCTGATTTCGTTAATTCTGTATAATTACTGGTTAGTGCGAATTAATCAGTTTTATCGTAATGTATATAACGCATATTTCTTTTCAGACTTTCATATAAGATTAAATTTATTTTTAAATCTTTAAAATATTTCAAAGTAAGTATTTCAAGACAACTGATGGATGGAGGTGGATTCTTTATGCTCTCTTCTCATTGTAATAACGAAGTCTGTTTTGTATAATAGGCCCTTAATAATCTTTGAAATGTCTGCTGGACAGTGTCCTGCTGTATATCTGTAGTGGCTTATATCAGTGGAGACGCTGAATTTAAACGATTCAAATATTTTAAGTAAATTATGCAAAGCTTCACTTAATATTAGTTTCCTTGAAGATGGCCAATTTAGGCCGACAATTTTCTTATTCTATGATTTCTTAAGCCTAAAAATTTAGTCAAACTTAACGGAAATTTTATATGTATCTCAATGCCAACAATGCACCCGCAATAATGGTCTCAATCAAATTATATCGCCCCTTCCAAATGTAATGTGACACTTCTTACAGTGGTCTACGCCCTTAGATAAAATGCAACTGTCGAGATTTTGGAGAGACCAGTAAGTCCTCTGTACGCTATTCGGAATATATTTCGGGAAAGCAGTAGCTACGTCAGAAGATGTTAAGATAGAAATCCTGAAGACAGGAGAACGTTTAGAGCTCTGGATATACATAGGTGAGAGAAACACAACGTTTTGGAAGCTGGATCTGTTTCTATCCTCAGATGAAGGGGGGGGACATTCTTTCGGGTTCCATAGAAAGAGCTAATCTCAATCACTGGACAACCTCTGTCAGATTCACTACAGCTACTTAATTACCTGAGACCTGGCTAATTCGGAAGGCGTTAATAAGAAAATACACAATAAAAATTTTGATAAATCACGCACATGCGTGGAACTATGATAGAAAACGAGATAGAAATCTATGCTACAAANCCAAAAAAAAAAAAAAAAAAAAAAAAACAACACCACCAAACAAATGCATGAGCACCAATGCATAGAAAAATTGAAAAAAAAAATGTATGAAGATAAATAGTGCTTACTGCTAATGCCATCTGTGGAGTAAAACCTGAACACTCGAGACTAAAACGTTATGGAAACCCATGAAGAATCTATCACGTCATACAGGTCTTCTCTGTGAAATGGAAACCTCATTGCTGATGAGTGGGATCCAGATGACAGAAACGTCCAAACAAGTTTGGCTGATTTGCTTGGTTACACCATGGTCAGAACCATTCAGAATCTAATTTACTAACAGCAGGATGTTAGTGCATGTTTGGTTCAGACAGATTTCGATTAGGGTAGAGCGGTCGGAGCTTGGAAACACGATAGAGAACCTTCGGATTCCGTAGGAGACAGGAAATTTCTTGACGACAAATGATCGACCATTGGCTCCTGAAGCCGATGATTCTTCTAGGTGCAGTTACTTGGCTTCTGCTTGCAGTGAACTATATCGTATATTCTTCATAGTCGAAGAAAACGTCCGTGTATACTCGACAATTCCATCGAAATTATTTTGATTTAGCCCTAGGAAGCATGAACGTAATCTAAATATTATTTACGAATTTATTTCCTTCTCCACAGTTAACATATTGCGTCTCCATTATCAGTGCCAACCGGTTTATAACTTCTGTAGAAATAATCGATGTTCAGCATGAGAATTAGAGAAGAAACATAAATACACTCAATGATTAAATTACATTCAGTCACTCACTCACTCACTCACTCACTCACTCATTCATGGAGCTGAGTCCTTGAGACCACGCAAATTGTGTAGCTCTCAAGGACTTCCCAGCATTTTATGGAAACCGAAGGTTCATTGCCGTATTCACAAGAGCCCTCCAATAGTCCCTGAGCCACATCAACCCAATGTATACCATCCCTTCCTATGTATTATTACATTGCAGGAACTTTTTAATGTTAAAGCAACTGACACGTACAGTAGTCACTACAGTTTGAAAGCCGTTCTGATCTACAAATAATAAAGTTATTTTGAAGCTCACTAAGACATCAACTAGCTCCATAGAGCTGAGCCCCTCTTAAAAGACTTCCAGCCCCTCAGCTACTTAAGAATTTCCCAACACTTTCCGAAAACCGAGGGTTCAGTACCGCCTTCAAAAAATCCCGGCACTGGACCCTATCCTGACACAGATTAATATAGTATATACCAGCCAATTCTATTTCTCTAAGATCCATCTTAATATTATCGTCTCACCTATGTCTAGGTCTTCATAATGGTCTTTTTTCTTCTCGCTTTGCAACCAAAACCCTGTGTACATTCCTCTTCTGACAACGCGTACTACATACCCTTACCATCATATCCTCGTTCACTTGAGCATTCTACTCGTATTTATGCTTGTCTAAGAGTACAAATTACGAAGCTTCTCAATGTGCAGTTTTCTCAGCCGCATGTCATTATACCCCCCCCCAGCACCCTGAACTCGTAGGAGCCGGGATACCGCAGTCGGTATAGCGACTATACCCTCAGGCTACGTTCTTTCCTTAATATCAGAGACCAAGTTTCGCAACCATGTAAAACTCAAGGTAAAATTATCCTTTTTTATATTGTTATTGTTATATTTTTAGACTATTAAGCGACATATTGATCCCAGCGTGCTTTAGAATTGCAAGTCTAGGAAACTGCCGCAGGTTGGTCAGCAGCGGTCAGCAGCAAGTGCAGTCGTCCAGACCAGAGCTCTTACGCTTACTGAGCCCATGTTACTGCTGGCCACAATTCCCTTTCTAACTCTGTACACGTCAGTTCACTAAATGTCATGAGAGGCGCAGGCCCAGAAACGAATATACCCTCACGATTAAAATCGATCAGTAACCTACTTGAATCTGATTTAACAGGCACGCATGCTCCTTTTCCATTTCATTCCTTCGTCACGATTGGTGCTGTAGTCCATCACAGACTCGTGTGAATGGATCAGTACGCCTCAGGCGATTTAACAGCTTCCTGGGACAGTACGCTCTAAACTTACTACAGGCCAGAGAGTTTGACCGATGTTCTTGGGAGTAGAGCAGATTCATTTACAGGGAACTTGAGGTATTCTTCACAGTTTACAGAGTAAATAATTCATTATAGGCAGTGCAGTTTTTGATAAGAAAGGGGTGGGAACTCGGATGAGTTAACGTGGCTGCAACGTTTGTATTTTCCGCCATCTTGTATAAAGTTAAACTATGAAGTTCCATATATTTATAGTACGAGTATGTAGGAGGGACACACGGTAGCGTAGTTGACTGAGGCTACAAGACGTAAGGTCGCGGGATCAGTTCCCGATCAAGTCATTGAATTTTTCAATTGACCTAATTTTTCCGAGGATCCGACATAGCACAGTCGGTATAGCGACTGGCTACCGGCTACCGGCTAGACGATTGAGAGATCGAAGTTCGACTCCTGGTAAGATACATGGAATTTCTCTTCTCCGCGTCGTCCAGACTGGCTCTCAGGCCCACCCAGCCTCCTATCAAAAGGGTAACGGAGGCTCTTTTCCCAGGGGTAAAGCGGCTGGGGCGTGAAGCTGACCACTCACCTCCAACTAGTTCCGAAGTCAAGAAAACGTGAATCTATACACCTACCCCATAACGCCTTCATGTCATAGTTCTTAATTAGTTAAGCACAGGGATAATTTTGCTTTTCTTTACCCTCTCCTTCCAGCCGAACTATGGCCATGGGGTGCACTCAGCCTCTAATAGAAATGAGTATCAGGAATCTTCCTAGGATTGAGGAGCGGCCGGCGCGTGAGGCTGACAAACTCACCGCCATCTGTGAGTCGGAATTCTCTAGAAGATGTGGGTGCGTCGACGTCTCACAACCCTATGGGCCTCCACTGCCTGTTATAAGAACAGCTTTACCTTTTGTCTTCCACAGTATATCTACAGTTTGTTTTTTACCTAGGAGATTGTGACATGCTACAGAAGATAGAATTCGAATTTCATTTGACTCAATTTTCCTTTTCGATCGATTGAATGTCCAGTTTTTGCTCGCATAAACCAGGGCGAGCAATGACATCCATTTACAAGATGTTGAGGGAATGTGCCTACTTGAAAGAGACATAGGGATTCACTTGTGTCAGAAGAGGAGTTGTATCATGGATATCGTAGGGTGCTGAAGCAGGAATGGGTGGATACGTTGCGCTTAGTTGGACATTGGTAGAAAAGCTTAACGTAAGGACACTTCTCTCAAGCTGTGAGACTTCCATTTCAGCCCCAGATCGCAGTCTTAGACCTAATGTATTGGCATTTGCTTTCTTTATTAAGGCCTACATATGCCAGATACACATCTTTCTATACTATCTATGTGCACAGGTAAAGTAATGCGGGAAGCGAAATTACGATTCTTTGCAGTGCGATTAGCTTTGCAATAACAATTCGTAAGCCAATTCAAAATGGTTCTAGCTATATATAAATATCGTATTGTTACACGTCGACCGCCTCTGTGGTCTAGCGGTCAGAGTTCCTGGTTACAGATTCAGAGGTCCGGGTTCGATTCCCACCTCTACCAGATTTTCTGGGAAGTAGTGTGTCTGGAAAGGGGTACACTCAGCCTCGTGAGGATAACTGAGGAGCTATTTCAAGGATATAGCGGCTCGGGTCTAGAAAACCGAGATTAACGGCCTTGGGGATTCGTTGGGCTATCCGCTAAAGTTGGCACTAACTTCACCGATAAGCGGCGGTCGCTCGGTCGGTATAGTTCGCTTGCGGACTCCAGGCCACGGAGTTTTATTGTTACTCATACTCCCATTGCTAGGAAACGGGTTGGTAAAGAAGTTCCCGCGAAGACAGATTCTTGGTAAACAGCCCATTGCTTCTGACAACAGAAGAAGTGTTTTCAGTGTGGTCAGCGCCATGCCCAGTACTAAACAGCAGAACTGTTCACACGTCTACAGTAACAGGAGTTTTCTATGGGGTCCGTGCCTAAGGTATATGGGGGACAGTGAAGGTCGTTGCAGCTAGCTGAGAAGCCGTGAGTCAAGGATGTGGAGCCGTCACGGAAAGGAGTTGTGAGGATTCATCTGTGAAGCGTTAATAGACATTGAAGGCTTTATGTGCTATAGTTGAAGTGATCTCGAGAGTGTAGGAACTGATTGGAGCTACGGCTATTGAAGAATCCAGGAGAGTTTTTAGTTGAGTTTCGAAGTTCGAGGGCGACTGAACAAGAAATGGCAAGAAGACTGCATAGTGATTTTAAGTGTTAGTTTCCGTGTTAAGGTCCGTTGCCAGGAGACGACTAGTGAAGACGAAGGATCCAAAGATCCTCACCATTAAATGCGATGACGGAAAAAAGAACTCGCTTCCAAACCGTTGTACTCTGCTCGAAATACCAGAAAATAACAGGCGAAGACCAGAAACACAGCAATGACAAATAACTATGTTTCGAAACAAAATGAACACAGCAAACTATCATATTCAATTACTGCGAAACTGAATCATTCTTGAGATTCTAATAATCGTTCAGCTAATTAAGAAACTCCCAGAATATTATTGGACATGACTACTCCTTACAGTGTTTAGAACAGCGTGCCACTTGTCCCTATCCAGAATCAGGCGAATCTAGACCACAATCTCCCATCCCATTAAGATTCATTTTAATATTATTCTCCCATTCACGTCTAGATTTTTCTAGTAGTTTCCTTCCTTCAGATCTTGCCACAAAAATGTGTTAATATTACGTGCCCCGCCAACACTACCCTCGATTCGACGATCCTAATGTGTTTTGCGAGTACGAATCAGGAAGACCCTGATATCAGAATACTGAGACAAGAAGTGCAGAAAAGAAAACGTCTGGAGACTGACATCTTCCCAGTCTTGCTTCGTCACTGAGCTATTGTTCGTCTTCACTGAACCAACAGACCAGTTGAGGTACGATGACACGGGACAACACTTCTATACCACCTAGCTCTACCGTAGAAGTCTTTGTTAAACGGAGCGGTGACATGATATTTTGTTTTATCCCTTGCAGGAAACTTTTCCTCTGAGATTCAAAGGATTCCATGTGATCAATCAGCCGTTCTACTTTGATGCTGTATTCGCAGTGCTCAAGCCTTTCCTCAAAGACAAGATAAGGAGACGTGTAAGTAAGGGTTCTATCGACATCTTAAGGCTAGATAGTACAATGGTTTGAAGTTTACGACTTTCTCACGAAAGTAAGCGAATAGTTTCTCCCAGAACTTCTTGTTTCCTGCTTCGTTCTGGTCTGCGAGACATGAAACTGTACTTAGTCCACTCTGTGTTGATACCCACACCTCTTTCTCTCTCTTTCTTGCTGCTACCAATTTGGGGCATAGGGAATCCGTGAAACGCTTTATTTCACTTTAGTTTCTTAATCCTGATACAGTCGGTAGGACTCCTTGGACGGGGGATCAGCCCGCCGCAAGGCCGCTACCTACACAAACACAGAATAAAGGCAGACAGACTTCTATGTCTTGAGTGGGACTCGAACCTACGATCCCAGTGTTCGAGCGAGCGAAGAAAGTTGATGCCTTAGATCGCGCCGCTACAGTGATCGGCATCAGTCCCTTTACTAGTGACTAACAGAGGTTCTGTAGACTTCACAGCCTGTAAATCGACTGGAATATTAATTTTTTGTTGGATATTCCGTGACGCTCTCAGTAGTTAGAGCATATAGTCGAATGTTAAGGTGAATGATGAATTGGAAAGGATCTGAAAGGAGGCTGTCATGGCATAATTCAGACACTTTGTTATCATTCGTCTGGAGGAACAGAGGAAAAGCACGATAAATCTAAACCAGGCTAGCCTGTATCCCGGCCGAGACTAGAAGTTATCACAACCCGCACACCAGTCTAGAACGTTATTGTTTGGTCAGTCCGCACGTTAGCATGATAAGCGATGAGATGTGTGAATTTGATTAATATTTTCTAAATACGTGTATTCTCTATGGAATTTCCTTTTACCGCCAATACTTCTATCAACTCATGGAGTTTATTTGTCTGCAGATCTACCTTCATGGTAGGGACCTTAACGCACTGCATGCGTTCATCAGCCCAGAAATCCTACCGGCAGAATATGGCGGCAAGAAGCCTAGTTTTGACAACAGAACATGGCGACTGTCACTTCTGGCGAACGAAGACAAGTTTATTGGTGAGTATATACCGTCGCTTGCTCCTCGAGGACTGCCTTCTTATCGTGGAGAGGTATGCGTGCCCCAGTGACAACGGACAGCTATACTAGCGTGAGCGTAAACTCCTGGTAGGGCCACCCATGCCAGACAGGTTAAAGGGTAGGGGCCAGGCGAAGTGTAGTCCCTGGTCCTTTAGATCGGGGCTGGGCGTGAGGCTAACAATCGCGCCCAATGAAAGATCTACTGTTACGAAACCTCCAGAGCTTATCGAGGAGGACCTCGGAGGAGAACAAGTCCCACGCAGAGTTGTAATGCCAGTAAAGAAAAAGAATAAGATATAATGTCACCCATAAACCATCGTACTTAAGGAAATGTCACTCAATATCTAAAAAGAATCTTAACTCAGTTGGTCAAGGTCTTACTTGGAAAGTTAAGTAGTCAAAAAATTCCTCGCCTCTAACGAGACCCGAAGCTTCATCACCGTGTTAACAGGAATCGGCCAGTGGTTTCTATTTCGTTCCAGATTCATTCATTCCCGAAACCCCAAGATTCATTGCATTGTTATCCTTCTGTATACGAGAATGTCTAGTTTCCAAAGAGGTACAGTATTTCTAACAGATATGAACAACTGAATGTGGTTTCCTAATAAATGTGTATTGATTTACGAAGTCTTGGTGGTACGAGCATTACACATGTATTGCAAACATCACTGCTCTTACGTTATGTCTCAGCATTTACTGCAATGTGGCATGAAATAGGGGATGGTACATTATCCTCTCATTTGAGGGCTTCCTAATCGGAAACTATGGACTGCCTGAAGAATCCTATCTGATGGGATGTGACGCCATGCAGTCTGGTAGACTCTACCGACCTTTCGGAGGATCCTGCCGTTTCCATCCTGAGGGTCGAAGAACAAACCAAGCAAGGAACAAGCAAGAAGTTTGGCTTATACTTAGAAGAACCGTGACTGATTTGCAGACTGTGTTACTGAGGAATCGAGGTTCGGTTTCAGGCAGGGATTAGAGATTTAACTTTTCTTTAAATTATCGAGATCGGCTCTTGGGCATACCCAGCTCTTTTTCCAGTGTGTTCTAGGGATACATTTCCTAGATCCCTATATCTAGCGTCGAGGTTAAGAATGCGTGGAGCTATACCTCCATTACCATATGCATTTTCGTGGCATAGTGCTTAATTAAGCATGAGAACAACCTTGCATGTTTTTCCTTTAACACCTTACCACTCTCAAGTTTTTAACCATTGACATTGTGTGCTTATTTGGGCCGAAGAGAGATGAAGTGGCAGGAGGTTGGAGAAAACTGCATAATGAGGAGCTTCATAACTTGTACTCTTCTCCAAGTATAATTAGAATGATCAAGTCAAGGAGGATGAGACGGGCAGGGAATGGAGCAAGAATGGGGAGAAGACGAATGCATATTGGGATATTGGTGGGAAAGACAGATGGAAAGAGACCAAGGCGTAGATGGGTGAACAATATTAAAATGGATCATAGAGAGATAGGATGGAATAGTATCGATTGGATTAATATGGCTCAGGATAGAGACCAGTGGCGGGCTCTTGTGAACACGGTAATGAATCTTCGGGTTCCACAAAATTCTGGGAAGTTCTTGAGTAGCTGCACAATTTGCGGCTTCTTAAGAGGGGCTCAACTCCATGAGTGAGTGACATTGTCTGCTAACAATTCATGACCATGTAAGTTTTGAGGTTTTCACGGCGATGACTATGAAGAAAGTCGTCTTCTGGGTTTAGGCGCCGTGTATTCTTCGTTTTGGCCGACGTTTCGGAGGAACGTATCGCCTCCATCTTCAGAGCAGTTGAATGGCTTGGAATGCAGAGAGCAGTAGCTACAGCTACTGCTCCGAAACGTCGGCCAAAACGAAAAATACGCGGCGCCTAAACCCAGAAGACGATTGTCTTCAATTCATGACCATTTTCACAACTCCTTTGACGATATTTAGTAACGGCTGCAGTGGAATTTGTATAATTCTGTGCATGATATTAAACCTAATGTTAATTAGTATTAATTAGCTCTGATTGTTTCAGAACTGGAGACGTATGGCTATAAAGTCCGTGAATTGCCGCAAGATGCGACGAAATGATTTATTATCACGGATTCTGAACCAAGATGGTTGCTCAGCAAGTTGCATACAGAACAGTTTCCAGCCTTGTGTCCTGAATTAAAGGTTCGAAACAGGGGCATTACGATTCCTTTATAGCGCACTTAAAACTATTGTTCTCCTCCCTTATTCCCCTTTTTCCTTCCTTCTACATTATGTTCGCCTTAAGTGAAGGAAATATAATTCTTACAGTTTATATTATAACAACAGTCTCTTTCAAGTTTCATCAGCATTTTCACTAGGATCTGGTCAGTATTATACAGGTCAGTTTACTTAATTCTGTAAAACCAATTCACTGCCTCAGTCTCTCTTAACCATGGAAACTTTGGGGCCTTTAAAAATGTAAATCTGTGTTCATACATAAGTATATTTTACTGATATTTTTAATTACTTAAAAAGGCGGAGTATTTCTGCTGATAACTCAGTATTAATATATTCCATTCCTATATTACTTTCAACACTCTATGTACTTTATTCTGTTTTCTATTTCCCTGAGTAGAACTTCCAAATTTTAATATATTACAAATGCGTATATTGGGAACACTTTCCGTTGACGCATGCAAATCTGCCTAAGGAGATAGGAATTGTAATTCACATAGCTACCAACCAATGGCAGAATAAGAGTACTGTCTTCTGGGATATAACGCCGTGTAGTCTGCTGAAAATCAAGTAGAACCATCTGCTTGCCACTTTCTTTCACGCTGATTTTTGCTCGTCTTTTTCTTCGACCCTGAAGATGGAGGTGATATGTTCCTCCGGAACGTTCTTTGACTTTCAGCGGACTACAGGGCGTTATATCCTAGAAGGTAAATCTCCACAACCACACCTGTGAGAACCTCAAATCCTAAATAGCAAAATAATTTCCAAACTTTATATGAGTGAACTTCCACACAGAAATATTTCCTGTAGAGGTAAAATACTGGGCCCACCAAAACATAGCAATGTGACAGTTTACTGCTGTTTCTCTGCCATAAGAACGCCAGTCTCATTAAAACCTTTACAGCATATTTGTATTGAAAGACTTCTGAACAATTATTCAAATGTAACTGTACAAGTGTACGAAGAAGAAGAATGTGTATTCCATAACGTCATTTGAAGTTAAATAAACTACACAATCATTGCCAAAACACAAGTGTCACAACACGGATCGCGTATAATTATCCTAAATTTGCAGAGAACTCGTGTGTATTAGGATTCATTCCGCGTGCATATCTCACTAAGTGTATTTTATGTTCCAAAGTGCCTCTTATTCTCAAGCCTGTTCCTTGGATTCCAAATTGCATTCCAAGCTTATCACAAATTAACTAAATTTCGTCTTTAAAATGGCACACCTCTTAGCCGGGGTCATGCGGTAGCGTAGTTGGTTGAGGCACCATGCTACAAGCTGGAAAGTCGCGGGTTCAAGTCCCGATGAGGTGGAATTTTTAACTGACATAATCCTTTCAGCTGCACTATGGCCCTGGGTTTGAATCAGCCTCTAACAGAAATGAGTACTAGGAATCTTTCTTAAGGATAAAAGGCGGCCGGCGCGTTAGGCTGACTGCCATTTGTGAGCAGATTTTCTGCAGAAAATGTGGGAGCCTCGACGTCTCACAACCCGATGGGCCTTCACGGCCCATTACAGGGTTTTACAATACCTCTTTTACTTTACTTACATAGTAAATATGGCTAAAACATAAAAGAAAATAATCTTTAAATATGCAAATAATTATTTGCAGGCTTAACTAGTTGAGAGTTATCGATCTATTGAGTTATTCACATTTATCTGTACTCGTACAGAGATACTGAATTGCTGGCAGTATAATTTTAGGATGACGATTGATTTTGGTGTTGTAAATGTGATTTGAATTTTTAAGTGAGTAAAGCCCGAATACAATACTAGACGTAAAAATATTAAACAGGAGAGAGACATGATCTAAAATTGTTTAATCGCATTAAATTTATAACCATGATCATTGCTATTATTTAGATAAATTAAAATTTAACAAAAGGAATCACATTCGTTAAAGCAACTATGTAAGGCCCAGTATTTACCATTTTTGCCACCTGTTTTAACATACTGCAACTCTGATTCTGCCCACACAGTGTATTTGTATGTTCCGTATGGTTCTCACAATAGACAGCGATTTTTCCCCTAAACAGCATTAACTGGTTGACCTTTGTAGCGGAGACGTAATGTGTTTCCTGTGAGGTGAGGACTGAAGTTTTATGTATCATTTAGAAGATAATATGTTTTTAAGGTGTTAATATGAGACACAAATCACGGTTACTAACATTTTAATGTTGCTTTTTAAGTACTGAGAATACATCTGTCGCACTCAAATGGGCAATTTATAAGCCGTAAATCTATTAAGTAAATTATATATGGATATATGTACATAAGTATATATGAGTATGTTATAAACTACGTGTGGGTGTGTATATTGACTCAAAAGATTGATTTAGACATGTGTTCTATAATTATTCACTTTCAAACGCCAGACGGAATGGAGAAATCTTGGGCGCTCAAAGCTACTGGTAACACAGCGTGTGAGGAAAGACTAGCAGAACTATGAAACTTGTTACGGCGCGAAATATTTGTTACAGGCCGAAGTTTACATATGCATCTCAATTATTTGTTAAAACGATATTAGCATCTATAATTGCATATACGAAAATGTCGAATCCACCAGGCCAAGCCATCTAGTGCATAGAAATCAAATAAATATATAAAAGTATTGAGATATTTGGAGTAAGTGTTCTACCTTCTTTAACTACATTTATATTCTAGATATAAATATATTTTTATTTACCACATTCATTTATCACAAAAAGTCAATTGAATGGAGATCGAATGCATTAAAAACGAACGACCAAAAATATTTTTTTACGCTATCTGACAATAAATTTCCCGAACTAAACGCGGTAGAAGTGCTACACACCTCACTGCTGAATATCACTGTGGTCGCCTTCAAAGTAGTCCCCTTTGGAATCTATGTACCGATGTCCGTGCCTAGTCGACCATTCAAAACAATTTTGGAACCGGTTTTACGGAATGGCCTTTAGAACTGCCGTCGTATTACTCCTGATGTCATCAAGGTCATCAAAATTTTTCCTTACATTATTTCCTTTATCTTCGGGAACACAGAAAAGTCATTGGGGGCTAGATCCTGTGAATAGGGAGGGTGTTCATGCACAGCTATTTGTTTACTAGCTAAAAACTCCCTCACAGACAGTGCTCTAATTCAAGCCCCGACATTCGCACGGCGGCACACCGAAACACACTCAGACAATAATAGACGCCACTCAGCAAGAGACTATCATACCTCAACAACAACACAGCTGTGAAACATTGATATGCCAACGTCATCAAACCATACTTAGGTTTTTGTCCACTGCTGCCATGGCAAGTACACGGTGGCGAGTTCGCGAACTTTATTGTTAGACCTCGTATATTTCAATAGAAATCAAATGAGAACTGCACTTTAGTTTTTGATAAATGCTTTAAGTATCGGGGGACATATGCTGTTGATTGGTGCGTCCCTTCGCTCCCCGTCTGGAGTTATTTAAATGAAGTGACACATCCACAAGATGAATGAGTGAAAAGATTTATGTTAAGACTGAAGTAAAAATCTGGTTAAATTATGGAGTGAAGTGTATAATAACCTTAAAATTGACGGTAGGATTATTCTCTTCTAAAGCCAAAACTCCATCTGAATATACATATATTTTACACAGCATGTAGTGCTATACAGTGGGCCTACTCTGTGGTATGAGTATTTAAGCTCCATCTTAATGGTCATTATTTTTAAATCTGCTTCCTTTAAAGCACTTAAAAATATGAAGCAACATTAATTTATCAAATGATTCTGTAGATCAGACGTTTTCAGCGGTGATTATGATCTCTTAGATTTATAACACATTAGTAACAGTATGAAATACTGAATTGTGGCAACGTTATGTGCTCTAGCAAGCAAAGATTAATTCATAAGCACATGGCATAAATAAGGGTGATGTGTAACTTGATGGAATATAAATTGGTGTATGGACTTAATTACCTGCTACACCAAGGAGGAATGGACTTTTTAAGTTTAATCAAGCTTATTGCAAGATGGATTGCGGTGAAAACTATGTAGTAAAAGACGAAAAGCTTCTTTGACTAGCTAAAATTTATTTTACAACAAAATATACCATGAATGTGCCTTCTGCACTAACGCCTTTATGTGTGTATATATGGATTTGCTTTTGAGAATGCAGACATCTAGTTATGTGCACTGACATATTTTATTTTACTACTTAAACTTTATTAGCCTACTCCGGACCACAAGAAGTCAGCACAAGAGGAAGATAAAAGATTAATTTCATCTGATATTGTCATTTCGAAAAACTGAGACGTCAGAAAAGAATGTTTAACACAGACCATTAATTCGTAACAGATTTAATGTTTAAACTCTTAAAAAATACCTTACAAATAAAATGAATGAGAAGTATGCAAAGTCATAAATATTAATCGAGTATGTAAATGTATTTATTGGGCAAATGAAAGCCTGACATTTTGTCCAGTTTAAGAAAAGAAAATATAGGTAATAAATAATTTTCATATTTCACAGTAATATTTAATAAGTGAACAGCTAAATATTATTTGCTTACTAAGACATATTTAAGGGAGACAAATACAATTTTACGTATATACTCTGTTCAGTTAGGTACTTAAAGGTGTACATTTTCTTCTCAATGCAATCCTAGCATACCAGTCTCATTTATGAAAGCACATGAATGTTCCTTGATTATGTCTAACAAATAATTCAACCTAGCGCGGAAATATAATAAATTCACTCCACCGAAGGAATGGAATTTGTAAAGAGTAAAGCTATATTCTACTCGCTCCATTTAATTAAGTCTTGTGAAAAAATATGTGTGAACTATAAACCGTTTCCACAACAGTCAGGTAAAGTTTCTGATGATGCAACAGAACGTAGTTATTATTGCAAATACATGACCAGTGGAGTATTTTGAATATATCGACTGCATTAAACAATCTAAAACCCTACAAAATAATTTTCATATAATTTGTTACGACAGAAATTATATACTATAATGAGCTCAATTCCTTTGTGGATGACAGCGCCTTTTATTCGTATTCCTCAGTCGCTACCAGCCATAAATATTTGGAATTTTCTTTCCCTCTAATCAATATATGTGCAAAAGAGCCACTGTTGTTTATATAAACTATATCCCACTGTTAGAAAATAAAATAAGCTTGATGGTTAATATGCCGATCCCAGTGGTCGCGCGGTCTAAGACATGAAATCTCTTCGCCCTCTCGAATGCTGGGATCGTGAGATCGAATCCCATTCGAGGCATGGATGTTTATATTCTGTTCCTTGCGACGAGCTGATCACCCGCCCAAGGAGTCCTACCGAATGTGTAAGATCTAGAAAAACCGAAGTGAATGGAGAAGTTCATGGAGGTAGGCCTAGGTCCACTGGGGCTGTTGTGCCAAGGGAAAAAAAAGGAAGATAGATAAATGGCGAATGCCGGGTCTTTTTCTGAAACTGGCGCTAAAAGCAAAATTTGCAGACATGCAAAAATGTAGCCCTTGTATTTAATTTGACACGCTTCTTCTTCCAAAACATATCATGGCCTATGCTGTGCTAGTATTGAGTTCTTAATATAAAGCACAAAAGAGCACTGTAGGTCGCGGCGCAAGGGTCGAGGAGGCCTACCCCTCATATACGTGTATTCAAGTTCTGAATATGTCAGTAACGAAATAACTAGTAATGCTTTTTGTCGCAAAACACTGGAGCTACTAAAAAGTAAAAATAAAAAAATAAAGTTATCCCTGTACCAGGCCTTGAAGGCCCATAGGGTTGTGACACGTTGAGGGTCCCACATTACCTAGACAATCGGCTCAAAGATGGGGGTAAGGTTGTCAGCCTTACGCTCCGGCCACGCTTTACTCCCCAGGAAATTTATTTATTTAATTCCTGGTACTCATTTCTGTTAATTAATTTTAATAAATTTTAATCTTCCACAAATCTTTCATAGAAAATATTAAGAACTGAAATAGCGTACAAAATACCGAAAACACGAAGTACAACAAAATTATATTTGAACAAAATTAACAATATTTGGAATTAGTTTTAAATCTATTTTAGAAAAAATGAAGTATAAGAAACAGTGCAGTACAGGAATCACTTGAACACATTTACCTGATGGTGACTTTATAAGGTCGAACATATCGTAGAAGTAGCCTTTGTAAAAAAAGCGACAATATAGCAACCAACAACCTAAGAACACAACAGGAAGTTACACTTTCCAATCTGCAACTGTAAATTAAATCATTATAAAATTTCAGTTGAAGGCATTGTTTTGAAACTGTGCGTTATATTGGGTTAAATTATTGTTTGTAGGCTGTATAGTATCTACTGTCTTCTCTCA